CCTATGACTGGTTTTTGAGATACAGGGTGCTAAACTTGAGAAATACCACTGTATCTCAAAAACCAATCATAGAAAAAAGCTGTTATTTTGTAAAATATCAGCTACAGGACAGATGATACTCCAGTGAAAAAATATGTATACTTTTACAGGACTAATCAAAAAGTATAGGGTGCTTAAAAAAAATGTTTTTTGACACATTCGATAAATTAACCACCAGTATATTTATTAAATCACCCTGTAGTCAATGAACTAAATAATTATACATATGGTAAATAAAAAAAAGTCCCGTAAAAATACTGCGTTTCACATTAATACTTAAAAAATTAAAAATTGGCCTATGTCGATATTTACGAATCACCCTGTATAAATGGCACCTAATATCTTTTGTATTATTATCAAATATAATAAATATAGCAATAATTTATTTTTTAGTAAATATTTTTACTTCCTAGAGCAATAAAATTATTTATCAAAAATATGTCCTTACTTATTTCTGGCCCACCCTGTAAAATTTCTGATCCTTTTTTATATTCGTAGAATGCCAAAAGATGTTACAATAAGATTTGGCACAAAAAATTATAATCGATTAGCTTCCTCCTGAAATAATCGTTATCAAATAAGTGGTATTTCTTAAGTTGTATCTCAAAAACTAATCATAGAAAAGAGCTGTTATTTTGGAAAATATCTGCTACAGGACGGATTATACGCCAGTGAAAAAATATGTATACTTTTGCAGGAAAAGTAAAAAAATATAGGGTGCCTAAAAAAATTGTTTTTTGACACATTTAATAAATTACCTATCAACATATTTATTAAATCACCCTGTAGTCAATGAATTGAGTTATTTTATATATCATAAATATACAAAAGTCCCGTAAAAATACTGCGTTTCACATTAATACTTATAAAAAAAATATTGGCCTACGTCAATATTTACGAATCACCCTGTATAAATGGCACCTAATATCTTTTGTTTTATCATCAGACATGATAAATATAGCAATAATTTATTTTTTAGTAAATATTTTCATCTTCTAGAACAATAAAAGTATTTATCAAAAACACATCCTTACTTATTTGTGGCTCACCCTGTAAAAGAAAATAACTTTTGACCTCTTTTTATATTCATAGAATGCCAAAGAATGTTACAATATGATTTGATACAAAAAATTATAATCGATTAGCTTTCTCCTAAAATAATCGTTATCAAATAAGTGGTATTTCTTAAGTTTAACACCTTGTATCTCAAAAACCAGTCATAGGATTTGAATGGTCCCATTGCTTAGGAGGTCGAGAACTGCAACATATCAAAAATTTATGACATTTAACAGGTTGCCACTTTTCCATAAGCGGTGTGCGGGGTCCTTTGTAGAAAACAAATCACGTATATACTTAATACAGCCTAGTACATACGAAACAGCTTCATAGAACTTCGAAATTATATAAATACACATTATTCCAACGACCATAATATAATGTTCTAGTCTGATATAGCCTGGTACCATTATAGACCGTGAGATAGTGACTAATTTAGGTGTCCCATTTTGAGAAAAATAAAAAAATTTACGAGAGGCTCCTGGGGATAACATATGAAAAATTCCAGAAATGAAAAGGTATTTGTTGCCCATATTTTTACGGAAGCCGTGTTTAACTAAATGAATAACTAAGAGAACTAGGCTGCGGAAAACCGAAAACTTTAATGTTGCAAATAGCTAAAGGGTTGAAATAACGGTGTAATCTTGTAAGGAAAAATCGAGATTTTAACCGACTTTTCCACACAAGCCCCTCGAATGTATGAAATCATATATCGTCACTAGTTCGAAAAATATTTATGTTAAGAAAAATCGAATTTTCCATGTGTTATCCCCAAGAGCCATTCGTAAATTTCATTTCATTGTACTTTTCAACCCTCTTCGAGACTTGTATGAGAAACTAAGGCAACTAAATTAGTCACTATCTGACGGTACGGCATCAATTTTCTTTTGAAGATAATATGTAACCTTCCAAATCTTCCTCAGGAATAAAAATAAATAAAAATAAATAAAAATAAATAAAAATAAATAAAAATAAATAAAAATAAATAAAAATAAATAAAAATAAATAAAAATAAATAAAAATAAATAAAAATAAATAAAAATAAATAAAAATAAATAAAAATAAATAAAAATAAATAAAAATAAATAAAAATAAATAAAAATAAATAAAAATAAATAAAAATAAATAAAAATAAATAAAAATAAATAAAAATAAATAAAAATAAATAAAAATAAATAAAAATAAATAAAAAAATAAATAAAAATAAATAAAAATAAATAAAAATAAATAAAAATAAATAAAAATAAATAAAAATAAATAAAAATAAATAAAAATAAATAAAAATAAATAAAAATAAATAAAAATAAATAAAAATAAATAAATAAAAATAAATAAAAATAAATAAAAATAAATAAAAATAAATAAAAATAAATAAAAATAAATAAAAATAAATAAAAATAAATAAAAATAAATAAAAATAAATAAAAATAAATAAAAATAAATAAAAATAAATAAAAATAAATAAAAATAAATAAAAATAAATAAAAATAAATAAAAATAAATAAAAATAAATAAAAATAAATAAAAATAAATAAAAATAAATAAAAATAAATAAAAATAAATAAAAATAAATAAAAATAAATAAAAATAAATAAAAATAAATAAAAATAAATAAAAATAAATAAAAATAAATAAAAATAAATAAAAATAAATAAAAATAAATAAAAATAAATAAAAATAAATAAAAATAAATAAAAATAAATAAAAATAAATAAAAATAAATAAAAATAAATAAAAATAAATAAAAATAAATAAAAATAAATAAAAATAAATAAAAATAAATAAAAATAAATAAAAGTAAATAAAAATAAATAAAAATAAATAAAAATAAATAAAAATAAATAAAAATAAATAAAAATAAATAAAAATAAATAAAAATAAATAAAAATAAATAAAAATAAATAAAAATAAATAAAAATAAATAAAAATAAATAAAAATAAATAAAAATAAATAAATATAAATAAAAATAAATAAAAATAAATAAAAATAAATAAAAATAAATAAAAATAAATAAAAATAAATAAAAATAAATAAAAATAAATAAAAATAAATAAAAATAAATAAAAATAAATAAAAATAAATAAAAATAAATAAAAATAAATAAAAATAAATAAAAATAAATAAAAATAAATAAAAATAAATAAAAATAAATAAAAATAAATAAAAATAAATAAAAATAAATAAAAATAAATAAAAATAAATAAAAATAAATAAAAATAAATAAAAATAAATAAAAATAAATAAAAATAAATAAAAATAAATAAAAATAAATAAAAATAAATAAAAATAAATAAAAATAAATAAAAATAAATAAAAATAAATAAAAATAAATAAAAATAAATAAAAATAAATAAAAATAAATAAAAATAAATAAAAATAAATAAAAATAAATAAAAATAAATAAAAATAAATAAAAATAAATAAAAATAAATAAAAATAAATAAAAATAAATTAAATAAAAATAAATAAAAATAAATAAAAATAAATTAAATAAAAATAAATTAAATAAAAATAAATTAAATAAAACAAATAATAATTTAAAATAAATAAAAATAAATTAAAAAAACAAATAATAATTTAAAATAAATAAAAATAAATAAGTGAAACTTCTTATGCCCTGGTATAAAAAATATGAAGAGTGAATTGATAAAAACGGTATTTTTCGATTTCCCGACACCCCGATAGCCTAAGGCAGGACTGCTTTTCTCAATTACAGCTTTATGTGACCTATTAGAAAGTCAGTTCCGCATGCAATCTGGTGCTATTAGCAGATGAGAGCCGTACCAGAAAAGTGGTACAAAAAGAGATTTTCAATTAGATTACTATACTTCAATATTAGATTACTCTATACTTCACTCTAATCTATAATAAATATCATAAACCCTAAAAAACATATTGTCCCTCCTTTTTTGAGAAGTCGTGCATTTTTTATATTAAAAACAGGACTCCACGCGTGCGAGGCCGCTGGCAACAGCTAGTTTATTATGAATAGGTATATGTCTTATTAAAATAATATTTAACGGAAATTTCGATTTTTATCAAATTACAAATGAAAACTACCTTAAAAATTTAAAAAACTATAATCATCTGACAGTTATGACAACTATTTAAAGCTGAACAGCAGCCAACTAAGTTTTGTTGATTTTTATTGATTCTCGATATAAATGTACCAGTAAATGTATGTGGTGTGAGCAAAGCGTGAGAAAAAATAATTCTCACAGTATAAACAATATATGGTATTGAAATTAAGTAAACTATAAGAAATACGCTACTTTTTATAGCAGTTATAAAAAATTATTTTGAATACTCTAGTTTTGATTCTACTTACCAAAGAGAACGTCATTCTTGGACCGGTTTCGTCTTCATTAAGGCTCGTCAGCAAGAAAGAGACATTCTCGCTTCCATTCTCTAATGGATATTGGGTAAGTGAAAATAAGAAGACATTTGCGGGACATTTCCTTTGTTATATATTGTCGATATTTTTCATTATTTGCATATTTCCTTTTCACATATCGACAGTGTAATTCGCAAAAACTAAAATTACTTGGAAGGAAATTTGTTTTTATGAATATTAGTCAGCTCGGGTAAAATAGGAAAATAATATTTTTAGTCTTGATACTTGAAAATTAGATTTTTTTGAAGAATAATGGAGATACGCCCTTTGCGAACTAATATTTTGATAATAAATTGGAGTTTTGCTTTTTTCTGAAAACAACTCTTTATTTTCTCCTTTCACATAACATTAAAACTTAGATCACAAAAATATACCAGAGACTAAATAATGATAAACTAACAAATATTAGGTGATACTAAACAAAAACAGAGAATATGAAAACATAGAAGCTGATAAAAAACTGACTTATATAATACCTAATAGATAATTATAATAATATTGTAGACAAGGCTAGTTATGAGGTAATTGATCGTAAAATGCATGATAGTCATGTTCTAAACTATTTTTCAGCTGCTGCAAGTGCTCATATTTTTCCTTCTTTATGGGAATTCTGGCTCTATACAATGTAGGCAAGGTGTCAAAGTCTACACATTTAGGGTTTACAGGCAATCTGATCGGAAAAGTTCTCCATTCCAATTCAGAATGTCTTAATTTAAAAAACACATTTTTCTTGGTGTACTTAATTGCCTTTAAGTCAACTACCTGAGGATCTCCGACTCTTTTTCCAGGTCGTATTGATGTAATAAAATTTACATTGCCCTCGACGGCCTTAAAAAAATCATGTGATAAATATTGTACCTTATAGGGATTTTTCAAACATGCTTTTTTGCATATCAGAACGTAATCAGCAGGTACATTAATTTTGGACTTTCTAATCATTCTCTCTATTGTAGAATGCATGCTGTCAGCCTCCATTTGGCTATGACCTTTTTGCAGGTATTTTTGTATTATAGTTACGTCTTTTTCAATTGCCAAGTTGAAAAGGACGTTTGCTAGTACAGAATTTCTGTTCTGGGCTGCGCAACCATCGCTATACAAAATATAGTCAGCTTTTTTATCATTAGGACTAGCGTCAATTTTATTTTTAAACAAATTGACTATTATTGATGCAAAATCATTGGCTGTTACTCTCCCCTCTGTTTTATTCCACAAAAAGCACTCACCTTGCTGATGCTTTAGATCGTAAATCGTGAAATTGTGTACGATTAGCTTCGTTTTATAATAAAGGGAGCTCACGTTTGACTTAGGACAAAGTAACACAGATTGCAAAGTCCACAGCAAAAACTTCATTTTCGGATTCTTTGTCGTTAGTCTTTACTTGACGAGCTTCGTGTTTCAATATAAGGTGAAAATCGTACTCTTCTTGCAAAATATTTTTCGTCTCAAAAGCTACACAAATATCACAGCTGTCCCTTTTAGGCTGGTATAAAGATAAATTATGTTGATCGAAAATTGTGGAAAAGGTGGCTCGAGACATCGGTTGTATATTATTTTCTTCACAAAAATCTGTGCAGTAAGCTCTATACAATTGTGATTTTGAGTACCATACTGTTTCCAAGTAGAGCTTTGAAGTGTTTGCTCTACAGTAGTGAGACTCGAGTTTGGGCAATCTATCGAAAAATTCAACTATTTTTTTAATTCCGAGGCCGCTTGCAGGCTGCTTCTGAACTCGCTCGTTGTCTATTACTTTTTCTTTAGCCCACTTCTTTATGGAAATTTCTCCAACACATAGTGTATTCAAAAACATCTTTTTGCATACTCGTGTTAGATTGTATCCCACTTTTAAATAAAACTCAGTGGATGTTTGTCTCCTAGAAATTTCCTGTTCTCCCCTTCGTCTTTTCGTAGGCTTCACAACTAATAGTGTGTTCACATAAGTTTTTTTCTCACCCCAGGTCTTTCTCCAAAAATCTTCGAATATTTCTTGCCTAGCATTTTCAGTAATAGAAGCACATTTTAATTTAGTGTTGTTGTCCCTACTTAACTTGCAGCTACAACGAGGTTTCAATTTTTTGGCAGGCTTTTCTATATTGTAATTCCATGTACCCTTTTCTTTTTTCTTTCCTTTATACTTAAGCCCCTTTTCTCTTCTCTTGTAGTTATCTTGTTTCTTCCATTTATTTTTGTCTATTTTACTTCTTTTAGATCTGGAACGCTTTTCTGATTCTTCTAGAGAAATCTCATTATCTTCCGGAAAGTTCTCTTCGCGTATCTTATTACTCTCAGATTCTGCATCAGCATTACTTGTCTCTTCTTCCATCTCTTCTTCGGTCATTATGTAATCAGGGTCTTCGTTCATTTCTTTGTTTTGGCAGAGAGTTTGTTGTACGAGAAGAATTTCTTCCTCGGAAACCAATTTTGCTGTTTCACTGCAATTAGTGGTTTCTTTTGTTACATCCAAATCTGCCAAATCAGAGATAATGTACGGTTCTCCCTGAGAAATTTGGTTGAGAAGCATCTCTTCAGTTTCTCTAGCATAATTCTCGATATCATCCACAGGGAGATTATTTGCATGGCCATCGTCTTCATTTTGGACTATAATAACATCGACGTGATTTTCTATTGTAGATGAAAACGGAGCAGGAATAACTTCGTCTCTAAAGGGTCTCAACTGATTCGCCTTTTGGTTTTTAACTTCAGTAGCTAACTTTGACTGCTCTTGTAAAATGTTCGTAATCTTGTCTACTCTTCTAGCCATTTCTGTAAAAAATATAAAATGTGACTCTGACTTGTTAAACGAGTGACAACTTTTAAGGTAAAAAAACCGCAACCAATTTATACCAAATACTCAATTATACTAACGAGAAAGAAAGAAAAAAATAATTTTACAGGCTTGCAAAACTAAAAATTTCTCAAACACTAAAGACAAACAAAATACAAAAAATGTTTAATATTTACAGTAAAAAGCAATTACATTATATTTTTATTGTAGAAATATTCATATCTCCATGTCGTTTTATTTTTCCTATTTGGCGCAAATTGCGTATCTTTTTGAAAGTTTTCTTACATCATAATAAGGAATAATAAATAATAGACTTACCTCTCACAATTTTCTAAAAACGTCCACAATTTAAGCACAATTGCAAGGATTTCTAGGAGTTAATTCAAGAACAGACACGTAGCCTTATGTCAAATAATGCTACCCCAGTATATATACCAATCAGTATTGGCACTCTGAGGCGGCACGTTTGATCTTTAAAAGTAGAAATTTTAGTTGACACTTGACGTTTTCGGGATATGAAAAGTTTTCTTTACACGGACTTGGTATACATGGTTAGTTGAATTTTTGTTCTACTGCTTTTCAAATTTGTGTGTATGAGGGAGTTGTGAGATACCTTAATAGACAACGGTTGAACAACTTAATTACTTTGAAGAAGAAAATAGATTAGATATCAGGGCAGTCTTCGCAAATGTAAGAAGGACAGAACCGTTTTAAATTATTTTATATATGTGAAATATTACTTTTTGGTGAAAAGTTTAATTACTTTTAGTTCAAAATATAACGTTAGTTTGTCAAGGGAAATATATAACACACAAGGTTAGAGTAACAAAATAGAGGTATTGCTTTATTTCTTAACTCTAATCTAAAACTTTTCTAGTATATTGTAAAAATTTATTCTATACGTTATTTAGGTACTGCAAAATCTATAGGAAAGTATGTAGTTTTAAATTTAAAAATTTGTAACGGAGACATATTTAGTGTAGTTTTTTTACAAATATATACTCAGTGACTTGTTTTTTGTGAATGAGTTCAAGTATGGCAGACTAAAATCGTTATTTTTTATTATGAATTAATTTGAATTTATTTTAAAATGGGAACTATATGTATATGGTTTTCGCAGTTTTTACACTTGTGATAAAAATATCAAAGTTATGTATATTGGCCATTTACTACACACAGCAAATTCATAAACACAATACATATTACTATTTGACATTCTTGTAAAACCACTAATTTAAAATTGACTTTAAACTAAGTGACTACACACAGAATTGTTTGAAAGCAGCCATAAGGTATAATTTATTTATTGGATACTATAAAAAAATTAATAGTAGTTACATGTAGAGTTAAGTAACAAGAAATTTAAGACCAAAAACAAAACAAACCTTTATATCTAGTGAACTTAATTTAGTACAGTCCTCAACTTTCTTAGGCTAACATTAAAGATATCTATTTGGATCTCGCTAAGAAACTCATTGGTAACAGCCATCATCTTGTTAAAAAGAGATATACTACACTTGGATCTAAATCAAATAATTTATTGTTACTTGGGTTTCTTAGATTAATCTTTGCCGCATTAACATTTATATAGTCAATCAATTCACAATCTTTGTACTTAAAATAGAGTACAAAATATATCACAGCCTGTTGCTTTCTTCTTTGTAAAAGAGATTTAATCTTAAAACTATTGAGCATAGTTTTATACGAGATCTTAGGTATAAGGGTACAAGTATTTTTTATGACATAAAGGTACTGTAATAGTATATTATGCAACGATCATGTAATGATGGTTATTAATACACGAGCATTAACCGGGATACGAAACGAGCCAAAGGCGAGTTTCGTATGGTTTATGCGAGTGTTTTAATAACCATTACATGAGAGTTGCATACGCTATTTTTTCTACACCCGATAAATAATCAAGACCTATATTCTATTTATATTGGTATTGAACACAATAACAGTAATTACTCGTATTTCTATAAAAAATTCTACAAAATTGTAATTAATGGTATTACCTTGGGTACTGGTATTACCACAGATTTTTGGGGCAAAATATTTTGTACTGCATTTTCTCCTTTCTCCTATATGTGTGGAGGAGTGTTCTATATCGCTGATATCAGACATTTTAATATTATAATTATCGAAGTTTAGCTATCTACGAAAATTTAATACGTTTTGACAACTAAAACAATTACATAGGAATTTAGGACAAACGTCAAACATCATGCTTGATTGAAAAATTGTAGGTTTCTATTGATTAAAAATCTGTATCATAATGAAAAATCTGTATCATAATGGGTATCATTATGAAACGGATTATGGGCATATAAGTGCATTATTATAATACGGGTGTAGAAAAAAATATTTTTTGTACTTTTTCAATATGATCAATTTGTGTGGCTTCCAAGAGCATCCATATTTGTGAAACATACTCAAGATGGAGTCTTACTAAGGCATTATATAATCTGATTTCGGTGGTAATCCTAAATTTTTTTGTATTTCTGATTTAAAAACCTAATGCTTTTATTGCTTTTTTAGTTATGTGTAAAAAATGGTTATTGAATTTCAAATTAGACTGAAAGACTACTCCCAAATCCTTTACCTCATATTAACGATTTAATGTGACATCACAGGTTTTATTTCTAATGTAAAACATTAAGAGGCTATGGATCCTTACAACTTAAAATATGCATACGTTTGTAAGTGTTAAATAGACGGATAAAAAGTGTTGATTTTTATTTACAACTATAATAAGAACCCATTAAAAAGATTAAGAGCAATAGAACATTTCAACAAATTTCTATAGGTACACATATTTTTGATACCTGATAATCAATAAATAATATATTTTTTGGAGTAGCTACAGGTTTATTAATACACAACTATTATTTTGTTACAAATACTTATAATATTTATAATTAACATAATAGTTGATATAAGTCCTTTAAAAATAATATATTTTGATTTAATTGTTGAATTTATACATGAGCAATTTTCCTTGTAGCATTGTTTACATTTTGCAGAGAAATATTGTATTCTGCTTTTAGCTGATAAATCATGTACATGTAAATGGGTTGAATGTAGACAATGTTAATGTTTTTGCTACTACTGCTGGCTAGAAATGGACACCAACAGAAAAAAGGAAGCACAAAGCACTCACTAGATGTTTTTATCACTTATACACGTACAATTTACAACCATTCAAGTAACTAGCATGTTGGAAATACTTCACGAAAACATATTAAACATAAATCAGTCGAAGGCAATGTATTTTCTTTTTATAACACACCTTTTTAGCTTGATTACTTTTAGTACTCTATTTATTCCAATGTCCTCAAATAAAACGAGCAATAATAAGGATAAAACACACACTGAAGTGTATTTGGGGTATTTTGATCTAAATCCACTATCAAAATAACAAATTTTCCGTTTTTAAGCTGTGAATGTATTACAAAAACTACTGAAAACTACTTCGATAAAATGTAAACAAAAGTTTATATTTGTGTACGAAATATGGGTTGCCTGCGCATGGTAGCGAGTTTTTAACCGGATTTATGACAAGTGATAGGTTATATCCCGAAAACGTCAGCGCAGTAAAAGCTGCGCGTCTTTTTCCCGCCCAGGGAGTGTCATGGGCCTGATGCTACTGGCGGGACATACGTATTTTGCCCGTCAACAATTTGAAACGTGTATCGGCTCCTGTTGCAAAACGGCTAATGCTACGGACTTACGCATTTTTCAGACTATAGATGTGCTATTACTAGATGGCGCAATAAAACACATTTTAGAAAAAATGGAGTTACGCACTTTGCGACTTACACTATCGATATGATTTCTTCACAACAAAACTTGCAAAAAATCCACATTATTTATAAAATTTCATTTTATTTGTTCTGATATCCTACCAAAAATGTCATATTTAAATATAAAACTGTATTAACTTAACGAAATAGTTTTAAAAAATATATTCGCCAATATATCTGATGATATCTATAAATCATTATTTTTTATGTCTAGCATAAAATGCAAAGAATATTACCGCGAGATTGGAAATCAGGTAGTGCAGGTACAAATTGGTAATCAAACTACGCGTGCAACAACATTAAGATGTCTCTAGCCGGATTCTTGGACTGAAATATTTGGAATGTAAATGGAACTATATGAAGAAATCTAGTTTAAAGACAAGAATATTTCGATTAATTAAGAAGTTTATTTGTTTTGCATTGAAAATATTACGTAGGTATACTTGTTATAAAGATAAAATCTATTAAATTATTGTCACCTGAATATTATTATCATTAATATTTGGGAAAACATAGAAGACATATAATCGATAACAAACCGTCGTTTAAGTAGGAAGTAGAAATGTAAATTCATATGTTTATAACTTTGTTTTGATATCGTATCGAAGAGCTACTGGTGCAGTTTCCATTAAAGTGAAACTTAAAAAGGCGATGTTTCCCAAAATACAATCACAATAAAACCCCGTTCTTATATGGTTAAAATTTCAAAACTATAAAGCCATTCTTTTGGCTATTACGGTTGTACTCCTGTCAAATTAAGTGTGTTAAATGTTATTTGCCTTTTTCTGTTTTGCAAGATAAAACTATTCGCCTTACATGGTGGCTCAGTAAACATATTTATTCACTGTGAGCTCGTCTGACTGTCACTTTGCAACTGGACTAACTGGAGTGTGTTTAGAAACCTCGCACGGCGCGTCTGGTCCCTATTATTATAAGTATTTGACCCAGACCAATGAAGTGGAGTGGGGCAGAATGCTTGTCAATAGGCTTGACATGCGACTCTATGGACAAAGACATCTCATCTCATTTGGGAGTATTTATAATAACCATTTTCTATTTCAAATTGTTATTGTATGATCCACCAGCTTGTGGACTGGACAATAACAATGTGAAACAGAAAATGGTTATTATAAATACTCTCGAGTGAGAAGAACAATAAAAATGGCTGCG